AAATATTTATTCACTTCTCATTTTATGCTTTCTGAATACATTATTTTGCTAGCCTGTAATAATCCAGTTATTAAAATAGTCAGGGAAGTAGATTACCCAATTTCATGGCAAGTAGTTTGATTTCTTATATATCATCATGATGAGATGATGACTTGAACCTGAATTTTCCTGGACTTTCTGCCTAGATGAAAAGAACTCAGTGTAACTTGGTTTGCTTATCATTTAGCATTTTCTCAATATTTGGATTTACTTTTATAATGATAAATCAGATTGCCTTTATGACTGCATTTTCATGGACACTGTGAAAGAAAATATTATCTCAAAGAGCAAAATTTTATACATGAAAGATAAAAAAAAAAGGCTGTAAATTTTGAGATAACCCCCTTTTGGAGGCAAAATTTTGCTACATTTTCAAAGTCAGTCACAAGTTTCATCAGACTTCATTGTAAATCAAAAACAATAATAATGAAGACATCTTGCACATTGCAGCACAGATCAGGAACTGAAACTAGTTCAGAAAGTTTCTGCCACTGAAAGTTTGCTTCTGAAATCTGGAGTCAGGTAGCATCAATACAGAGCTTCATTAAAAAAGTAAAGAGGTAGGAAGAACAGGCCAGCATTTGGGCAGGACTACTGAATTTTGGCCTGGAGCATACACCTGTAAAATCTTTTAAAGAGTAAGTTATGTCAGGAAATACTGAAATACAAAAACTGGCACTCCAAAGATGAATTTGAGCTATCTAGAGCCCATCATTGTTTTAGGTTTCACCAGCCAAGATTTTCGAGGAAAGATGACAGCCTAATTATTTTTGAGTAGAATAAATTATCACTGTCTCAAAAACCACATTCTGTTTTAAGGAAAAAGAATGTATCTGTAACCTACCTGAAGCCCCTGTCAAATATCATATTTGAGAATCTGCATACAGAAGTTATCATTTAATTTATTTTTAAGGGATTATTTACCAACTATTAAATGGAAATAATGCTTTCTGAGAATGAAATGTAAAATGGCAAATATTGTATGTCTCAAAAAATTATATCAAAAATTGTAAAATTGAAAGCTAAAAACTAATCTTTCTTGACCATACACATTTGATGTAGATTTTAGCTCTTCACATTTCCCTTTGCTCACACCTCTGCCATGGCCTCATCCTCATCACACAAGTCATTACTTCCCCATCCCTTGACTTAGAGCTAGGACATATGACTGGCCTTCCCCATCCCTTGACTTAGAGCTAAGACATATGACTGGCCTTGGCTAAAGGATCAGCACAGAAGAAACAGTATAGCTTTCCAAGTCTGAGGCTTTAAAAGCCTTCTATATCTTTTCTTGTCCTCTTATTCTGTTGCTACTTCATGGAGCATGAGAAGAATGTGCCCCAACCAGTTTATTGGTCCAAGGAAGGGGAGGGATGGAGGCAGCATTAGAAGGCAGAGCTGCTTCAGGCACCCTGTCTGGGTCAGCCAAGCCCCAGGTAACTCAACCACAAATCTATGAGAATAAATCATGGCACTTTCAAGATGCTGAATTTTATAGTAATTTATTTATGCAGTATTACTGTAGTCATAAATGATTAATGCACCCTAAAGTTTAGTTTTTAAATAACGATATATCAGACATATGATGACAAAAACCATGTTGGTTCACTTTATCTTTCACTTTCAATTAGCTGTTGTGACATCATTTAGACAGGGCCATAAAGCCACATCTGTGCTGAGGCCTTGTCATCACAATATGACTACACCTCTACCAATTATAGTTAGGTCTACACTTGGTAGTAAAAAAATTGCACTTTCTACAAAGGAGTTGCTACTCAAAAGCTTTCCTAAGAAATAACTTTATTTCAATCATATCTAACAACCAATCGGATTGATTTCATAAAGAATAAGATTTGATAACAAAATTATAAACAAATAGGGAAAGCTGAAGGTCAAACCTATTATTCCACTATCAATATTTTGAGCTAATTAGAAAAATAAAAAGCCTTAATGTGAATTATCAATGCAGTGTAACTATTGATAGAAGTTCTAGAATTGCATATTTGGAATTTGAATTTGAGAGTTTGTTATAATTCAGAAATATCAGAGAGATATTGGAAATGTTACTGGCAAAAGTCCTGCTAGAATTCAGTTGAAGGGAGAGAGAAAAACTTAGGAAAGGAAGACACTTTCGAAATGTTTAGTGATGCTATTTTCTGGTCACCTTTGGAACTTTTCCCTGCCCTACCCACCTCCATGAGAGGATTGTTATAGCAGAAAAGCACAGATAAGGCTTTTCTTAATTCTAAACTCTTGTTCTGCAGGGATCCACAACATGAAAATACTGTTGGATTATAAAAGAGCAAGGCTTCCTGCTCAACAAATTGGGAAAAGAAGCAAAGTATTTATTGACAGGTTTGTGTCCCTCAGCACAAGCCCACATAATTTAGGAGGATCTAAGAACAGAAATACTTATTGCCTGCTATTTCTGGGTAGGGCCCAGGGAGATAGCAACCCCCTGGAGTTTCTCTGCACAGTGCAGGACACAGGGACTTGCTCTGCTCTCTACACTATACTCACCAGGGGAACCTACGTGATGCTGCCTCAGGCCTGCCCACCCAGATTCATCAGATTTGCATATGACTTCAAGAAAGGGGCAGAAATAGCAAGAAAGTGTCTCTGACCCTAAGGGACGTATTCAAGGAACATTAAGAACAGTGGGGCTAGGAAGAGAAAGCCATGCCAGGGAATGGGGCAGAGAGAAGAAGAGAACACAGTGAGTAACTACACAATTTTGCGATGAATAGACCCTGACTAGACTCTTTAAAAATCCCATGTCCCAGAAGCTGTTAATAGGTGCAACAGTTATTCATCAACTGTAAAATGTTTCCTTATCCAATAAGACTCTGTAAGAACAAATACTTTTAGTGTACTTAAACTTCAGCTTTTTTCATCTTTAGAAAGGTTGGTTTGGATGATCTGTGTCCCTTTTTAGCTCTATATTTCTAGCACCATATCATCCATGAGCAGGTCTTTAATGCTGCTTCTAAAAAAAAATTAGAGGGCAATTGTAGGTTGCCATCTACATAATTTTTAAGTAAATGATTTGGGGAATGTTATTAACTTGCCTCCAAGCCTGAAGTTATCTGTGTGATTATCAAAGAAAAATAATTTTGTTTACATCAGCTATTCATTTTAAATCTCGTACCAAAGCTAACAATGTTCTCCTTCACCTAGTCCTTATTTTGCATAAATTTGGAGCTGTTTCTTCAAGTCAGTTATTATGAGACAGACTAAGAGCTGTTTCTGTTTGGTGCCAGCTTCTTGTTGAGGCAGGTTAATAAAGAGTCTGTGGTTTTTCCTCTCATTAGGAATGCATTTTGGCATTGACAACGCTTCACTGATCATTATGATTCCCCGTGCTGCTGTTGATCACACTCTTGTACATGAACTTCCCCAGAGAGGCTGTTTTCCCTCCATTGAGTACCAGTTAAGCATTCCCTCACAGGCCTCCCCCCAAAAATCCCTTCCTGCTTGGAATGCAGGACAAGCTCTCACTATGTTCCTGTTGACATTTTCACAGTTAATATTACTCATCACAGCTGAAGACTGAATAACAATAGAGAGGAACCAGTTTGCACATTTTTCCATAGAAGTAACCCCAACTGCCCTCTTGTAGAAATCATTCTAGGTGTGGTAGTTACCATGGAATATGGTGAGCATATCATGTTTGCCTACATTTGTTAACACACGTTTGTGCAAAGAATTTCTGGCAGAAACAAAATGAAGAAAATTCACCTTTTGAAAGATCTTTAGTCTCTAATAATGAGTGGTTGGTGTAACTAAAATTATACCCACGTTGGTGACACTGCCATGTTATTCCAAAACAGAATAACGGATCTTATTCCAAAAGCTGTATTGCTTTTTTACTATCAACCATAGTCTATCCTTTGTAATTCCCTTTTATGTATCTATTTCATGGCTCCTCTCCAACTAGACAACCTACTCTTTCAGCAGTCTCTCCTCTATTTCCCATTTTCCTCTTCCTTACCCCTCAACCCACATTCCCCTCTATAAACCGTCAGTGCTTTTTATTTTAACCTGTTCCCCAGGCATACTCCCAGCTTTTTAAATCTCCAGCAATAATCTGACTTTTGATTGTATGTGAAACCTTAGCTAATACGTCCTTTCCAAGTTTGGTTAATGAATTTCCTGACTCGCTATGGCCAAAAAGTAAAATAACTGATTACTATTTTATTGGTCTTGCACTGCTTTAGTAAAGAAAGACGTCCCAAATTCAAGAACAGATAAAATATTTCCATTGCTAACACATTTTTTAAAGTCTAATCAATTAATAGAAAGATCAAGTCTTCCCTCACAGCCAAGCAAATTAAAACATCCTCTCTGGTGATAAAATTGAAGTTTTAATTAAATATTTCTACAACTGCAAATATTTTACATATTTTATAAGTATGGCATAGCCTTTTTGGCATAAATTTCCTTTGTTACAGAAAAGAACTGTAACACAATTACAGAAAAGTTAAACATTTTTGTTTCTTATTTCGAAGAGTTTAGGAGACGCTTCAGACGCGGGTGGGAAATGTTAAATTCCGAATCCCTGCTCCGGAAAGTTTCCGTGCACACTGACTTAGATATAAATGAATGTCACCAAAGCTCACCACACAGATTCCGTCCTTGTGTTTAGATGTGAAAGGTACCTAAAGGTTCCAAGCCATTTTTCATCCCTTCCTTTGTGAAAAACAGGGAGTCAAATGTGTCTCAGGCAGGGCTGGTTCCTGGGCGATGGGGGCGGGGAGAGGAGGTGCTTAGGACAGGGCAGAATTGTTTCTGCCGCCTTGGTTTGCCCATACTGGGCGTCTGTGCAGGCGCGGCGGCTCCCTCCAGCCCTGCTGGGATGATACACTGTGAAAACATTCGCTCTCCCCTGGACGCCTCTTGGTTGTTCTTAGCTGGGAAAATGTTGCCCCAGGTTTAAAATATCTGCCCAAGCAGCCCAGCCCGGGAGAAAGGCGCTCTCACCGGCTCTTCGCTCCCTGCGGGCGCTATCCCGCCCTCTGCTGCCAGAACCGTGGGGATGTGCCTAGACCCGGCGCAGCGCACGTCCCGGCCAACCGCAAGCAGAACAAACCCTTGGCTGGCGGCCAGGAGGCTCCCTCTCAGCCACCGCCTCCCGCCAGCGCCTTTTTCCCCCCCTTGCAATACAAGATCTTCCTTCCTCAGTTCCCTTAAATCACAGCCCAGGGAAACCTCCTGCGAGCCGTCATCCAGCCACAGGCCAGCATGTCTGGGGGCAAATACGTAGACTCCGAGGTAGGCTTTGGCGGGGCGCGCCGGGCTCGGGGCGCGCGTGGAGTACCTGCTTCTGCTTATCTCCCACTCCAAATATTCCGACTGCTTTCCCGGCCCCAGCCCTCTCTCCACTTGGGAGCAGTCCTCTCGCGTTGGCACCCTTGAGGAATGGGCCTGGGCGGGGAGATAGAAGCCAGGAATGTTTTGTTTTTTCGGAGGGGCCAAGGAACCCCCAGAGCGGGGAGAACACCGCGAAGGGGGTGGGGGTGCTGCGGCTGGGTCCTCTGGATTAAGGACACGTTTTCTGTACAGGTTAGGATGTTCCCTTGTCGCGGGACCCCTGCGGTCCTCCTCTGCCCGCTGGGAGGCCAGGAGCTGGAGCGCAGCGTGGGGGTCATCTACCCGCAGTCCTGGGGACATCCCCGGGAGTTCCAGCCAGGCGCCTGGACCCGCTGGCCCCCGGGCGTGGCGCGCGCTCTGTTTGTACTTTTCAAAGTTCTTGAGCCATTTCAAGAACTCTTCGTGCAACTCGGCGTCTGGCAGAGGTGTTCCCCTCATCCAGCTGCCACCACCACTTCCAACCCCCTCTTCTCGCTTGAGTCCCCGGGGTCTGTAGCCCGCGCTTCACGCAGCCGCCTTTCAGTCACCGCTGACAGCCTGGGAGTGACCGAGGGTGGGTCGGCGGAGTTGTACAGGTGAATAGGGTCCTAGCGAGTTTGGGGAGGCTGGCACAGGGATCAGCCCAGTGATGGGGACATAGGAGACAGTGGTGATCACGCAAGTTGGGGAGGAGGGCCAAGAAAGGACAAGAGAGGGCAGAGGAAGCTTGGGGGGCGCGGACAGGTGCGAGGGTAAAGAAGCAAAGAAAGTGGGGACGTTCCGAGGGTCGGGAGCCTCGGGCCGGGCAGGATCTTAAGAATAAAGTTGGAAGGAATTAAGGGGGCAGGGGTAGCGGAAGCCTAGGACGCAAAAGGGGAGCAGGTGAAGCACTCGAGCGAAGGTGGTGTGCGGAGAGCAAGGCAGGGGCGAAATCCGAGGGGGCCTTCTCCCCTGCGGAGTCCCCGGGGGTGCTGCGCGCCAGGCGTGCGCTGGGCGGGGGCCCGCGGACCGCGCGGCGGGGATCGCCCTGACCCCTGGCGGCAGGCGGGGGAGGCAGGCGCTCCCTGCCTGGTACCGAGGGGTGTGGTGTCCTCTCCTGGATCCTCTTAAAAAGCTTGCAGCGCGCAGGAGGTTTCTGTGCGCCGAGCCGTCGCTGTCGACGCGGTCATTTCGATTTCGAGCTTGAGGTTTGCCGGGCCGCCAGGCTGACTTCTGATCGCTTTTCTTTTTGAATTTTTCCTCCCACCGCCGTTCCCACCCTCCCCCTCCTGGCCGTCCACCCTCCCCCTACCGGCCGTCCACCCTCCGCAGGGACATCTCTATACTGTTCCCATCCGGGAACAGGGCAACATCTACAAGCCCAACAACAAGGCCATGGCAGAGGAGGTGAACGAGAAGCAAGTCTACGACGCGCACACCAAAGAGATCGACCTGGTCAACCGCGACCCCAAGCATCTCAACGACGACGTGGTCAAGGTAAGCCGCGACTGCGGGCGAGGAGGGGGCGGCCCCAAGCGGCCGCTGTCGGGGCCCAGACAGCTCTCCTCCGGCGAGCCCTCTGTGCATCCTTCTTTACCACTGCCCTGCGAACACCGTTTTCTGAGCTTATGTGCTGCACAGCTAGCTGGCTGTCAGAACTGTCACATCTCCGCTCCCCCCTCCTCCTGGAATTTAGCTAAACTGAGTTTTGTAGGAGTTCACAGAGCTACATACACTTCTTTTTTCCTGGCAAATGAACCTCCTGACCTCAGCAACAGTCGGGCCCATATCTTGGGAGGGTGAGATGGTTGCCCTTTACTCCCAGATTTTGGTCTAGTGCTGAGTCCCCACTGCCCAGGGAACGAAGACAGTAAGACAGTTGTGTGAGGTTTGGTGCCAAGGGTGAGAGTCAGAATACAGATCGCACATATTCCCCTAGCTGAAATGATCCGAAGTGATTTTCTTACAAATGATACAATGGCGGGAAATGCCTAGGACTAAAGACAAGGAAAATATATGTATAGCTCTCTACCTATGTATGTGAAAGATGTGTTAACTAGGAAAACAGCGCGCTTGTACACAACTCAGCAAACTTACAGAACCGAAAATAATGTCTGTCTCTTGATTTCGCTAGACATCTCTCTTTAAATGTGGAAGTTCTTAGTGACCTAGGTGGCCTGCCTTGAGCTAATGGACATTCAGACTGAAGTTCCTTTTTATACTTTCAGGATGTGCTTGGTGATATTAAAAATAGATTAATTGACTGGGTTATTGGCCATCCTTAAATCAGACTCATGGTCAGTTTTTTATTATAATTATGTTAGTCAACTTTGACTCTTTTAGTAAATGTAGTGGGAGGAATTTATTGTCATCTGGATTGGGAAATCATGGGCTGGAGCCATCCTTGGCAGGAGAAACGGTGAAGGCTAAGGAAAATCCTGGCCTCCAGTTCTAGAGTGTAAAGACCCAGTTCTGCGCAGCCCCAAGACACCAACAAGGAAGACAGCAATCTCCGCCCACCCCACTTCCTATCTATGGATGGGAGGAGCTACAGTTCAGAGACCGTTCACGTTTATGAATAATACATCTCAAAAGAGAAGACAGTTTAATCTGTAACTGGTAGGAAAATGTAACTGTCAGAATGGACTCTTCTTGGCTTGCTGGTGTAGGAAAAAGGAAAATTGGAACATTCACGGGTTTTTCTACTAGCCAGATTATGGAATATTTAAAAGCAGCAGTAACAACAAAAGTACCTTATAAACTGGACATTAGGATTGCCAAAAAACTATTTACGAAAACCATTACCTTAAAGGGAGAAGGAAATTTGTGCTTTTCCTCCCTTTCTCATGTCAATTTGGACAAGAAGGAAAAGAGGCAGATTTCAGACAGGGCTCCCTTCCTGGGAGCCTCCCTGTTGTTCCCGGGCACTGTGAGTGAGATTCCCTGGAGCAAGCGAACCTCCTGGGATGAGTCACAGAGGCCGCAGTGTGGATGTGGATCTCCACACGCAGCATGACTAAGTTGAGAAAGAAAGGCCCCACTGGGAAAAAAGACCTCAACACAGATGGGAAAAAAAGCATAACAGGCTCAAAGGAAATAGCAGTTTACAAAATATCATTTCAAAGAGCAAGTGTGGGGATCCTCAAATTAAAGGAACTAAAAGAAACAGCTACCAGACCTTGCCTCCTTGCTCATAGCACTGTGAGCAAAACAAAACAAAACAAAAATCAAACAGAAAAGTCCACCTTGAAAAGTCTTTGGCAGACTTTTTAGTCTTACTCAGATGCCCCTCCTAGAGAGAGGACTTCAGAGAATGCCCTGCTGGGAGACAAGGCTCCCAGTGTAAATTCTGCCCAAAGAGCGCATGCACCAGGAGAGCTTGCAAACAGGGGCTTACCTACACCTTGTGGAAACTCCTATTTCATAAATATTTGTCCTCAAGTTCAAGCACAAATGTAGTAATAGAAACAGGGATGATTCTCTCCCTGTTACCCAAACAGTAAATAAAAATTTCTTTTAAGTTTTACTTCTGATACCATAGAGTTCTTAACATAACAAGACACTCCAAGCTTTACCTTGATGCCTGGTAGCTTAACTCTTCATATGGTAATAAAAAAAACAGTGGTCACTGGAATCTACTGTTACAGGTACTCAATCAAGTAAGGAAAAGTCAGTTCTAAAAGCCAGGAGCCCTGTTAAAACCCACTCTGTCCCATATAATAGTGTCTAGGCACCTGCCTATTTCCATTTAAATTTCATATAATTAATATTCAAATGTAAAATTCAATTCCTTTGTCACATTAACCACATTTTGAATGCAGGATATGTGAGACTAGTGGCATAGATATAGACTGTTTCTGCGTCAATTGTACAGCACAGATATAGACTAATCCTATCATCTCAGAAATCTCTATTTGACATTGTTGGACCAGAGTATTCCCTGAATTTTAAGATCATCCCGACGCCAAGTTAAAAAAAAAAATCAAGATAGAGAAGAAATGAAATCGCAACATAAAGTGTGAATAACAATGAATGTATCTGCGCAATATCCTTGTAATCCCCCGAAAACAGCTGTTTAAGGAGAGAAGGAAACTCAAGGCTGTGGGTGCCATGAATTTGTATCTCAAGAAGGTGGAGTTATATTAACACCTATTCCACTAGTGATAATGACATAAATTAAAATATGGTATTAAGTTCCAATAAAATTAACTTCATATCTTCCTAAAAGTTTGCTGCTTCGTATTATGAGCTATCTGTATAAATAATTTCCGCAAAATATTAAGTAGGTGATGAATGCTTTCTTAAATTTCCTCAAATTAAAGTGGTTACAAGCCCCAGACTCTTCTTTACTCTGACTCCGATTTCCAACTTCTTGTGTTGGCATTTTCATACACGCGTCAATTATATACATATTTGAATTTTCTAGATAAGGAAAACGGCTTCAAATTTATGATTCTGCTATCACACTGGCCATCGATTAATTTATTTATCAAACTCTTGCAATATGCTGGATTAGATGCTTTGCTATGCAAATCCTAAATAAACCCTAGCAATCACAAAGATTACGGTTAGCAAGAGAAGAAGCATACAGATAAAAAGTTTATAAAAGTAATACACACACACAACCAATATAGTAAGTCACTGCCAAATGGCAATTAGTGATCTTTTCTTTTCCTTCTTTTTTTTTTTTTTATTGCCTTGACTGCCAGGAAACACATGGCTTGATTTTCAGTTTCCTTAACCCAATCTCTTCTCTCCTACATTTGTGTTTATCTGTTCACTTCTCTGCATACTGGCACACTATTTTATGTACTCTCTATTGTATCATCATCATTTTAGACATAGGAGAAATATATGCTATAATGAATCAAAAGTAAATACAGTCGTATTGAATATTGCATAGTAGAAAGGGTTTTAAATAGTGAATGATACTGATATGAAGTGTGAAGGATTGGGCAGCGGAGTGCAGAGGAGGATGCATTGGGGATCATTTAACGGAAAAGGGCACGGAGAAGGTCCAATTCAAATTGGGTTATTGGAAGGCAGAAAGAACACAAATAGCTGGAAAAAGCACCAGAGGGCATGCTAAAAGATCCAGGCATGGAGACGGGAGTATTTGGTAGCCCATTTGGATTGGGATTTGAGAGTTCATGTGGCAGAACATATTGTGACCAGGCGGGCTTCCAATTCCTCTTTTTTAACATTAAGATAAATTAAGGGCTAACAAAATTTTAAATGGCATCCATGCTTTTACACAGTTACTGCCCAAAACAGATATTTTGAAATGTATCAAAGAAAAATAGACAAAATTATGTGATTCTTCATGGACCAGAGTCATGAAAAGAGATATGAGTTTAGATGATTCTGAGATTAGCACTGGGACGAATCAGGACATCTGGGAGGAAGGTCTTTGTTGGAAAATAAAAATATGCATTTGTAACTTTCTTGTCTAAAACTGGAATGTAATGATTCTTAAATATGCACAGACACAAAATTGTCTTTAGCAGCTGAGAAAATGCATGCACATGGCAATCGTATCACTTTTGGTTTCAATGTAACAGCCTAATGTCTCTGCAATCCTTTTCAAGTAGAAAGCATTCTAAAGCAATTGGTGATTAGTGTCAGTCTGTCATTTATAAAATTATGTTTATCATTTGACATACATATAATTAAAGTGTAAAATTTAAAATGTCAGATTGTCTCAAAGCCCGTAGCACCATGTTAATATTTTCTCCTGCTGGAATTTGTGTTGGTTTGGCCTGCTCGTTTGTTTGTTTAGGAGATAGATTCAAAGATGGTGGTGGATATTCTGCCATGTGTGAGACCATGCGCGGAATTCAGAATACCCAGCTTGTAAAATAGCGTGATGGTCATCTTTGGTGAGAAATTGTTCTCATGTTACTGAGAAAAGAGTGATAATAAAGTGGGAGATGTTATTCATTCTTAAGCATGTGAAATGCTTTCAAGTTCAGCCAAGAATGATATACATTTTAAATGCTTATTATAAGGAAAGCCTTTTTTTCCCCTCCATCTCTCAAATGTAATCAACAAACTTTGATTTTAACTGAATAAAATTTCATGTTATTTATTAAAATTTAAGGCACGATATACCAAATACCTTTGAATTATGAAAAGGTTCATAATGTGGGATATTCTTTCAATGAATAGCAGTGTTGGCTACATTTTTAAAGGGTTTAAAATATAAACAGCTGCAGTAGTGAGCAGCATCTGGAAAGCCTAGTAATTTGAAAAACCACCTGCTTATGTGTCCTGCCCACTCAAGTTCGTAAAATAACAGACACTTTCATATTCCAAATGAAAATGCTTTTCAGTTTGCCCTACTTTTAAACATAATTCTCCGTGATGGAATGTGCCCAGAGAGAGCTGGTCCCTGGGAGAACAGAGCTGTGTGCACTGACCTGTGAGGTCTGGGCCCCTCCCTGATCCTCCTAACTGTGTTTGCAGTGGAGAGAGGGCTGCTGTCTTCACACAAAGGT